CTGGCATATGGCGCTGGGGGATTGAACCGTGGTCCCTGTGCTTTGTTTAGCTTAGCTTGTTCTAAGTAGGTGCTTTAGACCACTGAGCCATCTCACCAACCCCTTAGTCTGCCTTTACCCCTCAATAAATGTGAGATGCTTCTGAGGCTCTGGGCTCGCTGGGAGAGAGACTAATCTCAGTGAGACCTCTGAAGCTACATTCATCAGGTCTTCTCGTCGTTTCTTTCGGCACCGACCCATAACATACAACATGTGTGTGTAACAGGCAAAGAGAGACAGGCAGAAGCAAGAAGCTGGGGTGACAGAGCTTGTCCCTGAGCAGCAGGTTTGACCCTCACTGCTGGCATCAACAACAGGGTCACTGTGCACAGGAGTGATTGACAGAAGGGCAAGGGGAGGGGTGCAAGCAGGAAGGGAGGGAGAGAGGAGAGGAGAGGAGAAAGGGAGAGAAATGACGGTGCAGTGGGCTGGGAGGAGGAGCAAGGATAGCTCTGCCAGATGACCAAGGAGCTGGCTGGGAGAGCGCAGGAAAGGAGGCACAGCTCCACCCCCGGCTCTGTGCTCCTCCTGCCCCTCTTCTTGCTCTTCCTGCTCTGATTCTTGCTCCTCCTCGCCTCATCCAGGTGGTACAATCACTTCCCCAGAAACTGGCCCTTGTCCCTTGCACTTGCCTGGCTGTTCAGAGGCCCCACGGGAGAGCCGTACCTGGTGCCAGGGTCCCGCAGCCCTCCTCAGCCAAACTACAAAGATTCTTCCACCATAGATTCATCCTTGTCCCCGGCCATTGAGTTGGCATTTGCTCCGTTTTGAGGGAGTGTCATAATTCCGGCTGCGTTTAGGTCCAGCATCATGTCTTCTGCGTGATTCTCTGGTGACGTAGGGCTCTCGTGTGGGAGGAGGTTGTCCCTAGGTCCTCTGAGTGGCAGGCACCGGGATGAAGGGCTGGTGGGACCAGGTCACAGAGGGAGGCAGCAGCTTGGCCTGCTCAGGGGACTCTGAAGCCTCTTACCGTGGGCGCCACATCTCTACAGGTTAGCCATGACAGAGCAGCGTCTGGCAGCTCTGCTTCCCTAAGCATCACACCAGCTCTTGCGTTTTCACTCTTGGCATTTCCCCCAGTACCAGGCTCCATCCTCTCTGACTCCCGAGACTCCCTCTGCTCACAGTCTTTCTTCCTCATAGTGTCCTACAGTGGTTCTTTCTAAACTTTATATTTTTGGACCTCTGTTCCTAAAAACATGGAATGAGCCACCTGGTTGTTGGGGATTAAAGCCAGTCACACTCATGTGATCACTGTTTGCTTTGGGGACTCAGCCCTGAAAGACACCGAGAACCCAAAATTACCACGTGATGATAACACCTGGCGCCGCAGACACTCTGTGATAGAGCCCTGTATCCTGCCATCCTTGGCCCTCTGGAAGTTGTAACAATTGCTTGGCTGGGGACAAATGTTTCCACAGATGGCATATCTCCACTGCCTGCCAGGAGGGGTCTGCTGGGGTTAGCAGGAAGGGCTGGCAGAGCCTGGAACACCATCTGTACTGTGTCCCCAGCACCCTGGGCCCGACTCCACCTATGTGCACAGATGTGGGCATCCAGCTGCCTCTGTAGCCTGGACTAAGGGAGAAGCCACCTCAGCTATGCCTAAGCCCCACACCCTAGGAGCCAGGTTCAGGGTCCCCTGAGGGATGAATGCGTGACATGGCAATAACCTTCAACTAGAGCATGGCAGCACTGGGTCAAGGTGTCAGTCTTGTGAGCTGGCTGGGCTGCATCCCCTGCCAGGGACATAGAGGCTGAGGCAAGAAGCTGTAGCCCTGGGACGCGGCTATGATGCAGCACAGGGACACTGGCATGCATGGCACCTGTTTTGGGCTATGCAAGGGGGTCTGCCCTGGGGGAGGAGATGCAGGCCTGGAATGGGTAGAGCAGCTGGACAGGGCAGAGCAGAAAGTCCCAACACCCACAGGGAGGCCTCCGGGCACAGAAACTACCTATCTCCTTCCTGTGGGTGGTAGAGCCTGCCCACAGTGGGACCTGTGGCCCTCTAGTCACCCCCAGCAGGTGTGGGCTAGGAGTGTGCATATGGTGTAACCAAACACATGGTGAATGTGTCCATTTGTAAATGTTACCGCAGTAAGAGGCACATCACCATGAATCCCCTCAGAATCTGTCCTCTTGATTCCTAAGCATTTGTCCCTTTGTCTTTGTCACTTTCTGCAGCAGTGCTGGCATCCTCTTTCCTGAGTGCCTCAATGGCACTGTCCTGGCTGCCCTCAGTGTCCTGAATCAATCCCAAATGGGTCCTTTCCATGGTCATCATGATGTTGGGGAAGAGTCAGAGGTCACGCAGTGCCCAATCCAGTAAATGAAGTGGCTGAGGATCCCATCGTGTGGTTAAGAGCTTGCTTTTTTTTTTTTGAACAACACACAGCAGCAGCATTCACTGTATTTTTGATCACACCTCATAAAGACACTCAGAAAAGAGACTTTCAGACCTTCAGAAAGTGACACAAATGATGGCATGAGCATCGGGAAAGATTCACGGGCGCTGGCCACAAACAAAGACACACGCACTCGATGTCAGTAAAGCGAGGACTCAAGCAAACAGGCTGCTGCCCCACCTTCAGTCTTTATTTTTATATATCTTGAGTCTCAGCCTTCAGGTTACTTTAGGTGCACATAATAGGACCCCATCGTATGTGTCCAAGATTAATGTTTAGGCTGTACGTGAGAACCTGCTAGGCGTCTGGGAGCCAGGACACGAAAACAGGGTGTCTGTCCTTGAGTTCCAAGTGTGCTTGGTTACTCCCGCAGCTGTTGCTGCCCTGTTTTCTTTTTCCTCGTCCCACGTGCCCTGCAAGTTACTTAGCACGCCTCTATATTAACTCTTTTTTATCTCAACGCATGAGTGTGCTTGAAGCAATGGGGAATATCTTGAGTCTTATTATAATAAATTATTTTAAATGCAATCATTCGCTGTGTAATCCGTTACAGCCCTGTGTATGTATACACACTCACACATGCACATGTATGATTCGAGAGTTCAAAAGGATGCCACACAACAATGTAAAATATCTCCTGCAATGATAAAAGTTTTAACTTCAGTTGAGGACTCTGAGCAGAGAGGCCATGGGAGTATACAGCTCCAGTGGTCAGAAAATGAATACAAAGGAAGGTCCCAGTGGTCACAAAAGCACAGGCCCATTCCCCTTCACAGTTATGGCCTCACAGAGTCACAGAACAAGTGTGGCCAAGGGCTGGGTGGACGGGTCGCTTTCTGAGCTCCAGGTTGGCCCCAAGGTGGCAGCCCCAGCCAACTTCTCCCCCACAGAGGCCAGTGAATAGAAGGCACCTTGATGCTGCAGTTCAGATTGCAGATATCCCCCAAAGTCTCCTGTGCCCAGGGGTGGGGCGTGGGAAGGTGGCCGGCCTGTGGGGGGAAATGCTCTGCAGGAGGCTCAGCTGTTGGGGAATTCCAAGCTGACCAGGTTGCTGGGCGGCTTCGGGGCCTGAGAAGAGGGCCCACTGGGTGCTTGAACTTGTAGGGTACGTCTCCTGTCCTGCTTCCACCTCTCTGCACCCAGCTACCACAGCCTAAGCAGTTCTCCTTTCTCCACCAGACCTTCCACCATGCCACTTCTTCATGGGTCCAGCCAGCTTAGAGCTGAAACCCCCAGTACACAAGCCAAATCAAAGTTCTCCTTTCGCAGGTATTTTGTTCCAGTGACTGGGAGGCTAGACAGGGGCTGCTCCTCACACCCAGACTCTGAAGGCAGCAAGCAGAGGAGAGTGAGGCCCCAAGGTAAGCCAGCAGCCCCCAGGCAGGCAGTGCTGAGGAGGCTGGGAGTGCGCAGAGGGTAGTGAGGTGCTGCAGGGTCCCACCTCTGGGTCCTTCAGCCTCAGCACAAAGACCAAGCTCCTCCCTGCCTGCCAGGTCAGGCAGCAAGACCTGGCTCGGGGCTGTGCCCATCCGCATTACACATGGCCTTATGATTCACATTCACCACTACACCTAAAACAGGCCTGTTATGCAGGGCTGCAGCCATGCAGGCATAATATAAAAATGTGTTTTGTTTTGTTTTGGGGCAGAACTGGTGATTGAACTCAGGCCCTTGTGCTTACCAGGGAAGTGCTTATTCCACTGAACCATCTCCCTGGCCCATAAAAACGTTTTTTAATGCAGTTGAGGTGAAGCACACAGAACATGAAGCTGACCCAGCTTGCCCTGTTCAAGTCCACTCCGGAGTATGAAGCACATTCACCAGTACTGAACCTGCTCATCTAGAGAACCAACCTGCAACATCCATAGAACAGCTCTCCTCTAACAAAGCCAGGCTTGATGATAACTTTCCTGAAAGGGGGTCTCACCTCCCACCACCATCTTTGTTTCCTACTTCCTCCTCCACACCTCTGACCTCACATGTATGTGCATGCTCACACATACACACACTCACACTAATGCATGCGTGGACCGCACAGCTCCCCCAAGCTCTACCATGCTTACCCTCCCCTTTTTATGACTGCCATTCACATTCACAGGAGTGACACCAACCACCAACCCTCAGGGATGCCAGGGGAGGCTGCTACTGGCTGCATGTGGGTCTCCCACCAGGCACCAGTGCACCAGGACTCTCCAAGTGAAAGGAGCCCCCAGCCCCAGGAGGTATCGAGAAGACATTGCTGACCTGGCAGCCCAAGGGCCCAACCTCTGTATAGGATTAGTACCCAATCCAAGGAAATTGTTCACTGTCCTGCCCTGACCTGCTGACAGAACCTCATTAGATCTTCACACCCAGAGGGGCGTGCAGCAGGCAGCAGGAGGGACCACACTCCCATCCCTGTATCAACCTAACACGGAGACAGCAGGCAGAAAGAGTGTGGGCCGTGCATGGTGATGGCTGGTACCATCCTTGTTTTTATCTCAGGAAAAGGCCAGGCTGGGTGCTGTCCACTCTGCAGACCACCCTTAGACATCTGAGCAGTCCTTCTTCAACAGTGAGAAATCGCCATTCCAGGGAAGCGCTCCCACCAGAAAGATGCAAGTCATTCTCTGTAAAAAGACATTGACAGTTAGCAGTAGGTTGAAGAACAAGAAAAACTCGTTCTGTTGCCAGCATTAGGAAAAAGCTGGTTCTGTACCCACCAGGGATTATTTGCAGGAAGCTGCTCATCATAGGAGCCACAGCCCAGCATGACAAGGCCCACAAGGAGCTCCAGTGACACTGGCCCAGGGAGAGGACAAGTGCCAGCCTCTTAGGACCCTGCAGGAGCCTAGACATAAACTCAATCATTTTACTTCTCTTTAATGCTTCCTACAATGAAAATAAAGCATCTTTATTTGACACGTTTATGCATGCTGTGTTAAGGGCCAGACTACCCCTCTTGTGCTACTAGCAGGCCCATGGGGACAAGAGCCTAATAAAGAGCCCTCCTTCCCCTGTCCAATGTGCGGGGATAGTCAAGCAGCACACATGGGTAGAGGGTTGGCTGGAATAGGCAGATGGACAGACAAACAGATAGACAGGCAAATGGGCAGCTGAGCTGGAAAATGGTAAAGGCACTGAAGATGGAGGCTTTGGGGACCCTCAGAGCAGAGAGAGAAGAAAGCTTGGTGTCCACTGCGTATGGGACACAGGCAATAACAAAAACTCTAGGAGGGTAGTTTTAATGCAAATATTTCAGATTTGAGGACCAAAAACTCCTTCATCTGTAAAGGAATCCAGAACACAGGAAAGAGGGAAAGTGTCTATCCACATTGCAGCAGATTAGCAAAACCCTGAAACCACATTATCTGAGACTAATTCCAACCCATGCTTACCCAGTAAACAGCAAAATTCCTAAACAAAGACAAGGAAGCTGAAACCAGTTGTATATGAAACACTGCCGCCAAGCAATGGCTTTTCTGGAAATTCTGGTTCCACAGATTTGGGATAAGGCCTGGAGTGCCTGTGCACACCGGTGTGCATATCCATGTGCACAGGAGCAGTGTGTGTGCACTGTCCTCTGTGTGACTGGGGGTGGGGTAATTAATGCACACAGAAGTGAATTTCCTACACAAGAGCTGGCTGTGCTGAGGTCAATGGTGTTCTTCAGGAAAGGAGTGGCACAGTCCTTCTTGCTCCACTTCTCAGCTGGGGACCTGGCTTCTGCAAAGCACTGTGGTGGTAATAAGGCCAATTTACCACATTGAGGGCATGGCCAGAGAGCACCCACATGCATCCAGACAGCGGCTCACAGGAGCTGAGCTCCTCAGGTCATGGGAGAGAGCTGAACCCCGACAAAGCTGCCAGGCTGGGACCACAGACATCCCACACATATCTGTATGCAGATGTCTAGAAAACTGCCAAGACCACCACGTTGCAGACAGATTGGTCCCTGTGACTGCACCTACCCTCTGCCAATGAAATCGACCCCAAAAAGTCCTCTGCCACAAGAAAGACAAGTGTCCCTTATCCCAACTCGAGGAGTAGCTCAATTTGAAAGAATCTATTGTTTCGATTTAGAATATCAGGAGATAGAAAGAGAAAAGTTACTCAATGTACTTGGTAGATATTCAAAGAACATTTGACAGAAGAAAACGTCCTTGGTTGAAAAAAGTAACTGCAGCCTCAAAAGAATTGGCCCCACTTCATGCACTATTTAATAATAGGATGCAGATATGGTACTGTGCCCTTGAGCCAGGAACTGGCAGAGCTCAGAGTTGCCACTCTGAAGCATTGTCCCCAAGGTTTGCAAAGACCAGCTTTCACCATTGATAAACGTGAGCTTAAGACATGTACCTGAAACCCTGCAGAGCCCCAGGAACTCGGGGCACCCCAGGGCTCCCTGAAGACCTGCACTCTTCTCACGGGGTTTTCTACAAACAGCCAAAAGCAACAACTCCCCTAAAAGTCAAAAAAGCCTGGAAGAAAATATAATGACAAAAGGCAAAAGATTAAGAAGGAAGGTGAGGCGGCACCAAGACAGGCTCAGCCTGACAGCTTCCTCCTGGCGAGCAGTAGGGCTAGTTTAGTTTAAGCAGTTTCAGCCCAGTGTCACTAGCATGTGTGTTGTAATCCTATTTGCCACTTGCCACCTCTGTGTGAAGCAGTGGCTGTCAACACAAGGTCCCACTGCCAGTGCCCACAATGTCCAGGACTTGTTAGGAATTCTCTCACCCCATTCCTGACCCACTGAGGCAGAAACAACCAAGGTGACACCCACCCTCCTGCATGCAGACCTCCAGGTGATTCTGATGCTGGTCACATTGCAGCCATGATGCAGGGAAAGGGGTAAGGACCCAGGACAGCTGGGGCCTTCCTTACACCTACCTCAGACCCTGCTTTGAGTGAGGCAAGATCAGTCCAGTGCTCCCGCAAATTGTGAGATCAAGAAGTACAGGCTGAGCAGAGCATGCAAGCACATACCTGTAATCCCAGCACTCTAGGAGGCTGAGGCAGGAGGCCCACAAGTTCAAACCCAACCTGAGCAACTTAGTGACTCAGTAAGACTGTCCCAAAATTTTAAAAAATGGGGAGGAGGGAGAGCCTGGGGGTGTAGTTCAATGTGAAGGCTCTAGGTTTAATCCAGTGGAGCACAGTGGAATGGAAGAGGAGAAGAGGAGGGAAAAGTGGATGCTAAAACCCCTGGATAACACCATGTCTTTGTGCCTATCTCTTCCCTGACCTTTGCAGGAGCCCTGGCTGGGCCAGGAGGATGGGATGCTATCTGGCCTCCAGCACCTAGAGCACACCTGGTGCAGGAAAGCAGCTCCAGGTGTCAGTGAGGACACTCAAGGGGCTGAGTGAGCAGCTATGGCCCCCGCAACTGGCCAGGTGGGCTGGTCAAGAGGACAGATGTCCTTGGATGATGGGTCAGCAATGTCTCTGCTCCTTGGTCCAGGTCACCTGGGCCCTTGAGACAGGGAGGAATGGGGGAGACCACTCCCTGCAAAGCTACAGGCTGACCTTCTGGGGCTGAAGGCATGGAGAGAGATGGGCCTCCACCACGGGGCCTGGGGGCCTTGTCTCAGAACCCCAGGGCTGTCACATATGGAAGGTTTTGGGGGTTTTCTTCCAATGAGATAGTTTTAAATCAAATTGGTAGGACAGTTTCAATAATTAAAACATTGCATACATTCTTCCTAGTGGTTAATTGCTGTACAAGATGCAGACATGATATCTTATTTACAAACTCTATTAGAACAAATCCCTCTATTCATTAAGAGAATGTAACTATATATCTATCCTAACCATTTTGAATACACAGATACAAAATGGACATTCATCTGTAGCCCCTTTTGTTCTTTAGCTCCTTTATTTGAATATTATAGGTGTGTTAACTCAGCAAAATATTCTAAAAGGGTCTAGTAGTCCATAATAGTATTGGGGCTTCTGCTTCACTGGCAATGTCAGAAATTGTTGACCTGAGTCCTCTACAGATCAACCTAACAGCATGGCTTTACTTCTTATATGGCTTTACTTCTTATAGTTCATTTTTATACTTTTCTGCTGGATGGTTAAGACCAAGATAAAGCAAGACCTATGCAACAAGAGTTGTAGCTTTTGAGTCTGATAAGGTCAGTCAAATCCCCTCAGGATTTATCCTCAGACTGTAGATCTTTTGTCACTATCAGCACGGTCATTGCTTGGCCAATGTGCTCTCTGTGAAAGCCTGAGAGAATGTTTTCTCTCCAAGTGACTCTCCTTAGGCACACTCTACATCATCGATCACTTACGTCTTTGGCCCCATAATCTCCTTGATCAGAAAATTTGAGACACTACTGAGTTACATGACATTACAGTACAAGTTCTCATGTCCTGAGTCTTAATTGACCTTGGAAAGCTAGGGCCAAAATGTTGGCTTTCCTTGCAGCCCTCCTTTTTCTCTAATTTTGGTCTGCAAACTTAGGTTATTAACCCTCCAGAAGAGAAGCTTATTGTTATTGCCATACAACCTTGGCTGTTAAGCTTAAACTCACTATCTGAATATCAAACATCTTAGGCATGTTGTGGGACTGTCCTGCTTCAAGGTTGTATATGGTTAGATTTCTGGACTTATATGTAAACATAAGAATGATATAATTCTTTATGCCTATTTTTAAAATATATTTTAATCTTTAAATGTTTTTTCATCATATTCTGTAGGGACTTAAATTTTATCATATCAATACTTGACGTATGGGAGGTTTGTCACCTACCTTTTCCAGTTTGGAGTTTTCTTGAATGATGCAGTTCTCCCTGTTGGTTAGAGGCTTTCTACAGCTGCTGCGGGCAATTTCGACTTCAATCATGTACTCTACACGGTCTGTGAGCTATCAGTCAGCAGAAGTCATATTTTAATTGCTTAAAGTTTGGCAAACACAGAAATCTCCCTGACTGCCCTCCCCTCTACCCACACACATCTTCAGGGAGCCCTTGTGGACAAATGGTGCTCACGGCCAGGACTCTTTCACACACTGAGACTGGTTCAAAGGACTCGGGACAGGCACTGGGGAAAGGCTCCTCTCCAATGAGGGCCTCCTTGTAGCAGAGAACTTTTGACCTATTCTCTGCCCAAAGTCCAGGATGAGCAAGCCTTCTGTAGCGGGGAAAAGGGGAGGAGGGGTGCAGCAGCTCCAGAGGCAGGGGCAGAAATCAGTGTTGGTGGAAATCCTGTTCTCTGGTGCAAAAGGCACTGCAGGAGAAGAAGAGAGTCTGCCTTCCCCTCACTCTTTTGTTCACAGCAGCTGCTGAGCTCGATTTTAGCTGAGCTCCAGGGAAATAGAAGTGTGGCTCTGGCCTGTCTTGGAGGGGACACTGCAAGGACATCAAGGGTGGTCACAAAGCTAACTTGCAAATGCTACAGGGCAAATCTAACACTAATGCTAGCAAATCAGCTTCTGAAACCCTAAGTGCTCCAAACTCGGAAACATCTGAGCACCAGTGGGACATCAGAGCAAGACACCACCAACTAGCTAGCCCAGAGGCCGTGGCCATAGCTGTACGGAAGTGCAGCAGCTGCACTAAGGATCGTGTATAGCTGCCTCTGTTTTATGAGTGTGAAGTGTGTGTGTGTGTGTGTGTGTGTGTGTGTGCGTGCATGTGTGTGAAACATGCTGAGCTTAGTGTTTACACAAGCAGCCCATCTATCTGAAACACCTTCGGCTCCATGTGCTTCTGGCTCTTGCATCTTGTGCCGTTGTCCCGCCTGATGTGCGGTTGCTACCACATGTTCAGGTGCTGCATACCAGCATCTCCTCACTTCCCATTTCTCCAGTCACAGCTTGCAAAGCCCTGCCCGGGTCAGACCCCTTACCTGCATCTGGGCCTGCAGGATCTGGCTCACCAGAAAGATGTACTTGTCCTCACTCTCTTTGTTGAATTCCTTCATGGCAAACCACAGACACTGTCTCATGTTTCCATCTGAGAACTCGATGGTTTTGAAAGGTCTCAAAACCTTCAGCACATTACTGTGTATGTCCATGCTGGCCACCAGGGCCACCAAGATGGTGAGGAGGAGTGCAGACAGCCCGCAGGGTCTGGTCATGGTCTCTGAGCCCAGCACTGCCTTGTCCCTGGGCTGGCACTGTGGCTGGGTGGCTGCTCCTGCTACTCTGCTATGGAGAATTAGCCTGAGTCAGCTGTAGGAAAAGGGTGCGCTGTAAGACCATAATGGTTTTTTTGTTATATAGGTCTTACTTTATCTTGGTCTTAACCATCTGGCAGAAAAGTATAATAAAAATGAGGTATAAAAAGTAAAGCCATATTAATATGCTGAGCTGTAAGAGGCTCAAGTCAACAACTGACATTGCCAGCCATGTGGATAATCTACTACTATTATGGTCTACTGGACTATATTGGATTACTTTGCTGAATTCATGCACCTACTATATTTGAATGGCAATGGAATACCCATCTCTGACAAAAGTAAACAAAGGGGCTGGGGAGATGGCTCAGTAGAATAAGCGTTTCCTTGGCAAGCGCAAGGGCCTGAGTTCAATCCCCAGTTCTGCAAAAAAAAAAAAAAAAAAATCACAAAAGTAAACAAAAAAGGGGGATATAAGTGAAAGGCCATTTTGTAGTGAAAAATATATATATGTGTGTGTGTGTGTATATACAAAATAGCATAGATATACAGATACCTTCTCTTAGTTCATTGAGAAGAAAGATTTGTACTAATAGTGTTTAGACAAGATATCACGTCTGCATCTTGTACTATGAATAACTACTACAATAGTTGGGCTATTGCCACAGAGCTGGCAATGTCAGAAGACAACAATATGTAATGTATTAATTACATACATGTAATGTATTAATTAATACATGTATTAATTGCAACTGTCCTACTAACCTGTTTTGAAACTGTCTCACTGCTAGTTCTTTCTCAATAAAATTAATATAAAAAATTTAAAAGACCATAATGCTAAGTGAAATAAACTAGACAGACATGCTTAAATATTGCATGGTTTGTCTCATATGAGAAACCTAAAGGATAAGTAAATCAAAGGGCAGAATAGAAGAAAGATAATAGGGACACAAAACCCCTGTAAATGGGAAAGAGATGGAAAGATGGACTGAGGTGGGAGTGAGGAACGTAATCCCACAAGGAATATAATCATTATGTGTGGCAAACACATACCAATAAAAAGCTAAAATTTTTAAAATGTCAAATAAGTATAGATGAGGATTAGGATTATTCAGAAGTGACAGGGCCTTGCACCAGGAATAAGTTGACCCTAGTAAACTATACATGGATTCCAGGAGGCTGAGGCAGAAACTGCTCTGAAGGCAAAAGCAGGGGCTCACAGGAGGCATTTTGAAGGAAGACCTTCTTGGCTACAAAGAGCTAAAGGGTGTGGGATCCCGGAGGTCACAGGTGACCCTGCAGAAGTACTTTCTGTTTAAAATTATGGTGGTGTCTGCCCATGACTAGAGCTGCGAAATTTTTTCTGTGGAAATTCTGTGACCTGGGTTCTTTCCTCAGGTGCATGAACTCAAGGTCCCTTCATTCAGAACTGTCCAACTTTATGGACACATTCCTTTATTTGGGGCAGATGTAGCCTACCTATACACACAGCTGCATGCAGTGACGCAGCCCTACAAAGGCGAGGACTCCTAACACGGCAGTGCAGTTTTTTGGGTTTTTTTGTTGTTGTTGTTTTTATTTATTTATGTGTGTGTGTGTGTGTGTGTGTGTGTCTGTGTGTGTGTGTGTGTGTGTGTGTGTGTGTGGCCAGCTCAGCCCACCAGGGGGC